TACGAAAAGTGTCTTTTTTATTGGCTGCCGCTGTTAACATCCATCATCGCTATTTTCAGTTCATTAATTCTTCACTTTTCCAAAGGTAGGAACGCGGCGTTGTGTAGAATCCTTTTGAGATCTTTACCCTTTGTAGTTTGGTCAAAATGTCCTGTCGGATTACGTATACATTTCTTACAGGCTCGCCAGCTACTACTGGAAAATATGCCTGCTGGTCATGATATGAACTCACTTGCTTCTTATTTACAAAGTAGCAAGCAGGCATATTCAATGCAAGGGCTTAGACTGCGTGTTGATCAGGATAAACGTAAGCTGTTCTTTGTGCGATTACTACATTTTCTTTCAGTTCTTGTGCTTTCTAAGATCTTTATGAATGTTGTATTGATTTAGTGTTCGAGAAAGCTTTAATGAACACAAAAGATGCTCTTCTCATCGTTTGTGATCCGCGCGATAAGGAGCTAGGAATCGGTGAGTAGGTTCGCTATAATTTGAGTTCCTTTAAATTTTGACTATTTCATGGTTTGCCGGAAGGTCCGTTTTTTTTAAAGGCACCCCGAGTTAAAAAAAAACGATGATACTGATATGATAAACGATGATGACCAAGATACTGACGGCAGGGTAACGCAGTAGTGAAGAAAAAAGCATACCAAAACTTGTTGGAATTGCCTCACATAGATCCCCAAGCGGAACCGCGCCCATAGGGCGAAGAAAGGGCGTGGTCGGACGACTGCTCACTTGTCAGTGTCAGTTTTTGCTCCTTATCAACTTAACCATCCGAAATGGGACCTAGTAGCGACGACCGTACCACGAGAGGTTCTGGATAGATAGTCGAGCGCTCCCATAGCCGGTGGGCGGTACCGTGGCCTCGTCGCGGGCGTATCGCGCTTTCCTCACCTGTTTTTAGCTGCGAGACAAGTACATCCTCTCCACGGGACTACCTTTCCGAGGAAGGAGTCCAAACATCTCATGGACGCGTGGGGTGCCTTTAAGTCTGCATCTGAGAGAGCAGCATCTGCTTTCTTTATGTTTCCCGCTCTTTTCTAAGGTACGAAAAGTGGTTAATATTGATACGGTTCCTTAAGGCATGGACGAAAATCAGTTCGTGGAGTGGATGGCTCGTGAGAAAGCAGATTCACAAATGGTAGAATTTTGGATGAAGAACGAAGCTGCGAAACCCCCTGCCTTAGGGGGTAATCAGATGGGGTGAGTTCAGTGGATGCCATCAATGAGCATTCCTTTTATTTTTGTGCTCATCGTATTCGCACTCATGCTTGCTTGTTGGTACACATGTTCGTACATCACGCATCACACTCCTTATGGAGAGGGATCTTATTTAGGTTCTTTCTGATGTGGTTGCGATTTGAAGTTCGCGAAAAGAGAAAAGCTGCCATGCTAAATCGACAACCGCTTGAGATCGAAGGCCTTTCCTACCGATAATGATGATAATCCTATCAAAATCAAAGTCAATGATCAAATAATCTCTCTTCAGGTAAGCTGTTTTTTTTACAACTTTTCCTGTTTACATCTCGATCAAATTTGTCAGTTTAGGGAATTTTTCGTCCACTTAGTAATTACTACCCACTGCCTTTTGAAATGAAAGGAGAACGTTATCGATCAGTGGAACACTATGCATACGAAAAATTGTTTATTGCCTTGAAATTGGACGATAAATGTATTGAGAAGATACAAACGACTGTTTTGCCTGTAGACGTTGCTACGATGGCAAAGAGATACTTCAAAAAGCATGAGGTTCGTCACTATGGATCCTGAGTTTCATAGCTGTTCTGATATTGTGCCGTTTTTTTCAGGTTTCTGAAGGCAGCTATTGAAGCGAAAATGACTAAAATGGATCGGTGGCGACAGTCAGCCATGAAACATAAAATTGCCCAAAATGAGTATCTACAGCAGCTTCTACTGAGCACCGGTGATGCACTTCTCATAGATTGCTGTGGTACGTTGCTAAAAATTTTGAATTTCGGATAATTTGAATAAAATTTTAATGTTGCTTGAGGGGCGAAGCGTGGACACTATTCTAAGAGCGCGTTCAGACTTCGCGATCGCGCGATCCGATCGCGCTACTGGGATGGGTGAAATTCACACCGGGGGGGGGGTCATGTTTGTTCATGTTTATTGTTCCTGTTCTCTTTTAAATAAGACACAATAAACATGAACAAACATGACCCCGCGCGATCCTAGCGATCCGATCGCGCGATCCTAGTCGAGCGATCCGATCGCGAAGTCTGAACGCGCTCTAAGCTGCGACGACTGTAGTCGTCCGCACGTTTCTAAACCTGGCCTTAGAGGGAAGAAGGGTTTGCTAGCTGGGTGGAAGTGTACAGACGGCTAGAGGTTCCATGCTGCCCTACGAACGGAACGAGGCCCGATACAATTGTACGAGTGCCCAGCATTCTTTTTTATTTTCTGGACCAGTCTTCTCTAGTGCATTTAGAGGACCTCTGTAAAACAGGGGGTAAGAATAGAGTTGCTCCCCCTCCAAAAAAAGAAATTTTCATCTCCATTGTGAGTGTCCCTAGTCTTGCACAGGTTCATTCAGTTGTCCTTCTTAAAGGATTTTTAGGATGTTATTGTTCGATATCCTCCATTTCAGAAGGCGACCCCATGTGGACTTGCGCCTCATCGGAGCGTGAAATGCAGCGCCTACTGACAAAGCCTTACGTAGGGCCTGCTGATCTGATAAAATGGATGAGGAATAAGGTAAGATTTTCAATCTAATTTTTTGAAAGTTTTTCCACTTATGGATGAACGGTCGGTTCTCCTAGAAAATTGTACTTTTTTCCGGATTTTTATTACTACCAACTTCCGTTGATGATTTCAGGACGATAAAACACCGAAAACGTTATCACACCTCGTCGGTAACAAAACCGGTTTGCTACTTATGGAACTACGAGTGAAATTAGCGTCACAGACCGAGAGTAGAATACCACTGGTATAAATTCTGTTTAACCAAATAGTTTTGTTGCTTGTTGATAAAGGCCATGGTTTTGTGACCTTTTCCTGTATCGCGTATATTCCGTTGATTCTTTCAGATATCGCACTTCAACACCTCCAGTTTATCATCAATTGTTAGCACAAACGTGATCTGCTTCACTGCCGAATCCGTGTTTCACCCGCTTTATCCTGCTGAAATTCAAGTAGTTGAAGGACAACCCCTATTTGCTTCACCAGCTCACTTTGTGGCTAGTCAAGCAGTGAAGTGAGTGATCCGTTAAATGGTTTGATAATGTTTTGTGTGCTTCTACGTTGTAACTTCATGCTGTCTTTCCTTATGTCTTTTTTCATGTGTTTTTAGATACCTTGGTTTCAATACAGAAGATACAGAGTATGTCATGGAAACTCAATCGTCCCTCGAATGTTGGGAACGCCTTCATGAAACAATAGAAGCGAAAGGTCGTGGGCTCGAGAGAGAGCAGAGTTGGTGGATGGAAAGGAGGCAGAAGGTATGCTTGTTATGCCCCAACAAAGTGTGGAAGTGGATCCAAAATTGCTGTTCATCTACCGAAACTGTGTGAAACTATACAACAACTTTAAAGGCACCGCAGATTTCACAGAATTCTTGTGTATGTGCCTTGTTGTAGTGATCCGAGTTCTCTACTAAAAATCCTTCTAATGTTCCCACACAGGGCAATCTGCGTCCGAACATCGTCTTTCTAACGCTCAGGAAATAAGCTTCGTTCGACTAGGCAAGAAATACTAACAGTACAGACGAAACAAAAACCTTACAGATTGCAATACACAAATGTTCTCACATCTCTTCGCCGACGATCGTCTCCGAAAGGACTGCGACGGCGACTTGGTATCTTGTAGTCACGCTCACGTCGTTGAGTGCTTTGTTGCGACGATTGCGACGAAGCAGGTCCAACAGGCATGCCAAGCAGTGATGGAATGGGCGACTTATCACGCGTACGTTCCGGGTACCTATCACGACCAGCTGCTGCTCGCTCTGGTCTCTTTTCACGCTCCTGCGTGTCTTCAAGACCTCGTCGGATTACTTGCATACGATTAACCTGAACATGCTCTATTAAAATGTTGAGAACTTAGAAATCTACTTCTCTCTTTGACTAACTCACCTCTACCGATAACGCTTGCATATCGTTGTAGTAAGTGTCAACTTCAGTGAGAGTCGCACGAAGCATTCCTGTCAGTTTCATAAATACAGCACGCATATCCTCAGCAGGAACTGACCGTAGATCGATACTACCCTGAAGGCTCCACAGTTAGCTATAAATACAGACCTACAAAATTCCATTCGAATTCATTTTACACCTCGGAAAACATTCCGCTTCCTCAAGAATGCGATGACAACACAGTTTTGTTGCCATCGCATTTCGCGGAGGGCGTGTCAGCGCTAATGAGTTTGGCGCGGCGCCAACCCGTTATCCTTTTTTCTCTTTCGAAAAGCTACAAGACTGTCATGTCGCTCCTATTTATATTTTCTCATCAGTTGCTGTTGACGATGAAGAGCCCACTCCAACAACTAGTGAAGAGCGGACTGGCGGCGCGCCAAACGCAGCCCTGGGCAGAGAACAAGACTATAATAATCATCAGGCGGGAAGGGGCTTCGAAGCACTACTTAGCCAAAACTAGAACAAGTATACCGGAGATGAGGAGTTCGGCCTAGGCCTGAAGGGATGAGATAGCTCCGGACTAAGTGAACCCTTACTCAGAGGATGGTTACTCTATCCGAACACGGCAGTTCCAGGTTTGCACAAAGAGCCCTGTAATTGCCCCCAACATATTAAACTCAAATGCTTTCTGGAAAATCAGTATCGGCGCAATTCGGTTTAGAGGGAGCTTTCGCAGTTTAAGGCAGAGTATTTAGCTCTTTCTTGCCAATGTATCGGTCCGTTTTGCGGAACATGTTAGCATTTGTGCCAGCAATGGCACGAGCTCAATACCGCGCCGTTTCGTTTTTGGCTTTTCTCTATTTCATGTTACACGGCATTACAGGAAATCAGAAGAAATATCTAAAAGCGTGTTCATACTCCACGGCAGCGTTTTGAGCGTCTGTTAGCGTTTTGAGCGTTCTGAGCGATGAGGAAAGTATAGCTACCCAGCCAGCGTTCCGAGCGACCGCCAGCGTTTCCAGCGGTAATCTATACCTATACTTTCGTAACTGAAAACGCTAAAAACGACACTCAGTACGCTGCCGCAAAGTAGAAACGCACTCAACAGCTAGGCGAAGGAGAAATTTTGCTCTAGCCTGATATGGAAGTAGTTCCACTGCGATCGAACTTATTGGTGCAACATGTGTTTAAAAAAATAACTCGTAACATTCCAGCTTCCAGCATAATGGTCTGCCCACAAAAGAACAGCACCCAAGTAGATAGGTGTAGTTGCTACTTTGTTTTCTGAGCACTAAATAAAACATACACATACCTTTCCATTTGATTTTATTAACTCATCCACCATTTCACTGATTCGCACGTCATCGACTGTAATTAGACGTGGTGGGATTTTCACCCAAGAAGCAATGTTCATCAAATCAGCATCCTTCTTCTCCTTGGCCAAAATAAATAGGGGATCTGAATTTGTTCACATGTACTCTCTTCCTTATTCATTCAGATTTTAGCTCAATAATATTCATAAAAATTACTATCACTAATCCATCAAGGCTGTATAATTATCTGGGCACAAAATGTCGAAGGGTTCGCTGATCATCAGACTTTCTGTGGGTGAATCAGTTCCGAGAATGACATCAACACCTGGAGGGGAAGAATTCATAACTTCCCTTCAAATTGCGAGTTTTTCACTGTATCACTGCACAACTCCCTCACTTATCGGAAGCTCTGGAAGTGTGGCCGGGAAAGCTCCACGAAGAACAAATTCTCGTCGTAATTCCATCAAGATTAGACCCAAACGATTTCCACCAAGATATGACGGACGAAATGCCATTGGCCGTGTGCATAGCTCCAGCAGCTACAAAGTCGTGTGATTCATTAAATGATGTACATCCTCAGAAGGTCAGAAGAAGCTTTTTCATTACGGAGTTTAAAACATCTGAGATATTCCAGGGATCACACAAGATCAAGTGAAGGCTGACACATTAATTTTTTGCGTACGTTACATATTCTATGGGGTTCCAAACAAATATTATTCTCAAGAACTTTCTGTCAAATGTAGATTAGACCAACTATTGGAGGGATTATTGACCATACGAATCCAGGAATCTTAGCAAACGAACAACTACTCACTTGTTTGCTTGAAATGTCCACTGTGTACAGCCATGCCCGCAAGTCTGACTCGCGCATTCCAATCGATAACTCGGTTTCCATCGAGCAAAACCGTGCACAATACACCTGCAACGTACAAAGATACGTATCGCATACACAATTAAACCCATCAAAGTAAGATAACATTATTCCAGAGATCAAGGGTGCATAGGATTTCATGTTAAATTATTGAAAAGATACTCGCAGCTTTATGCGACGTTCTGGTCCCAAAGCTCTTCCATTTCGAGGCCTTCAAGATCTATTACGTATTGTGCACGTTGTGAGCAATAGCTGGACATCCGAGGAAGGAGCTTAGAGCTCTTAACGCGAAGCTCGGAGGAGTTTCGATCTGATAGAGATATAAACAAATTCTGGTGCTGACAACCCCGGGCGCATTTAGAGACTTCCTTGTGCAAAACGGAGTTTGCCGTCACCCAAATACGATTATCATCATTCAATCTGGTTCATCCGGAGCTCCCCATTTTCAAAGTTTGTGCGGTTCCTATTTGCATTACGGTAAATCTAGTTCCACGCAAGAAGTCCCTTGGATCCTCCTTTTTCAAAAGTTATTAGCATTAGCGCTTTCAAAGGTTATTAGCATTAGCGCCCAAATCCCTTCAACATAATGCTATACCTATTTCCTTGCTAATTCAACTAAGGTGCACACAGACAACGTACCAGCATAGCATCACCAGTGTCGAGAAGAGCTCGGAGCAGAGGTGGATGTTGTTCGAAAAGCATATTTAAAGCATCTTTTATAGCCTGAAAAACACAAATAAGAACAAGGTGTATGACAGTACAAGGCAATTACAGGAGAGCGCACACTTCCTATGATCATTTAGCTGGTCGTTAATTAAATCTGGAGATTGATCATTATCGAGTTTTTACTCAGGCAAAATGTCTTAGCGCGATCTGTATTGTTCACGGCATTTCACAGTCGTGGTCTTATTAAAAATTGTAAAGTACCAAGTCTTACATCAAACAGCTGTTCAACAAAACAGCACGTGAACGTTTTGCTAACCAGAAAAAGGCAAAATCAATAGTAATGCTGCGTTCATACTTTTCGTCAGTGTTTTGAGCGTTTTTTAGGACAGGCGCCAGCGTTTTGGGAGAGACGCCAGCGTTTAGAGCGAAAAGCATACTATGCGTATCGATCGGTGCTCAATACGCTCAGAAAGCAGACGATGGAGTTTTCCCCAGAATCGACTTCCGCTCAAAACATGCTTTCATTAAAGTTGTTGTATAGTTTCAAACAGTTTCGGTAGATGAACATAGCAATTTGGATCCACTTCCACACTTTGTTGGGGCATAACAAGCATACCTTCTGCCTCCTTTCCATCCACCAACTCTGCTCTCTCTCGAGCCCACGACCTTTCGCTTCTATTGTTTCATGAAGGCGTTCCCAACATTCGAGGGACGATTGAGTTTCCATGACATACTCTGTATCTTCTGTATTGAAACCAAGGTATCTAAAAACACATCAAAAAAGACATAAGGGGAAAAACAGTTTGAAGTTATAACGTAGAATCACACAACAACATTACCATTTAACGGATCACTCACTTCACTGCTTGACTAGCCACAAAGTGAGCTGGTGAAGCAAATAGGGGTTGTCCTTCAACTACTTGAATTTCAGCAGGATAAAGCGGGTGAAACACGGATTCGGCAGTGAAGCAGATCACGTTTGTGCTAACAATTGACGATAAACTGGAGGTGTTGAAGTGCGATATCTGAAAGAATCCACGGAATAGTTGCGATACAGGTGGAACTTCTTTCAACAAGCAACAAAAAACTATTTAGTTAAACAGAATTTATACCAGTGGTATTCTACTCTCGGTCTGTGACGCTAATTTCACTCGTAGTTCCATAAGTAGCAAACCGGTTTTGTTACCGACGAGGTGTGATAACGTTTTCGGTGTTTTATCGTCCTGAAATCATCAACGGAAGTTGGTAGTAGTAAAAACTGGAAAAAGTACAAGTATAATTTTCTAGGAGAACCGACCGTTCACCATAAGTGAAAAAACCTTCAAAAAATTAGATTGAAAATCTTACCTTATTCCTCATCCATTTTATCAGATCAGCAGGCCCTACGTAAGGCTTTGTCAGTAGGCGCTGCATTTCACGCTCCGATGAGGCGCAAGTCCACATGGGGTCGCCTTCTGAAATAGATGATATCGAACAGTAATATCCAAAAAGGCGCGAATCCTTCTAGAAAGACATCTGAATGAACCTGTGCAAGGCTGGGACACTTCACAGTGGATATATGATTTTTTCTTTTTTCAAGGGGGGAGGAGGCTTTTCAGGCAGAAGAAACCTCCTTCAGTTCTAGTGTTCTACTCCACCCCCTGTTTTGCAGAGGCCTCTGAATGCCAACTGGAGAAAGACTGGTCCAGAAAATAAAAAAAGAGAATGCTGGGCGCTCGTACAATTGTATCGGGCCTCATTCCGTTCGTAGGGCAGCATGGAACCTCTAGCTAACTTACACTTTCACCCAGCTAGCAAACCCTCCTCCCTCTGAAGCCAAGTTCAGAAACGTGCGGACGACTACAGTCGTCGCAGCTTATAATTAGTGTCCAGCTACGCCCTCCAGCAAGATTAAAATTTTATTCAAATTGAGTCAAAATTCAAAATTTTATAGCAACGTACCACAGCAATCTATGAGAAGTGCATCACCGGTGCTCAGTAGAAGCTGCTGTAGGTACTCATTTTGGGCAATTTTATGTTTCATGGCTGACTGTCGCCACCGATCCATTTTAGTCATTTTCGCTTCAATAGCTGCTTCAGAAACCTGAAAAAAAACGGCACAATATCAGAACAGCTATGAAACTCGGATCCATAGTGACGAACCTCATGCTTTTTGAAGTATCTCTTTGCCATCGTAGCAACGTCTACAGGCAAAACAGTCGTTTGTATCTTCTCAATACATTTATCGTCCAATTTCAAGGCAATAAACAATTTTTCGTATGCATAGTGTTCCACTGATCGATAACGTTCTCCTTTCATTTCAAAAGGCAGTGGGTAGTAATTACTAAGTGGACGAAAAATTCCCTAAACTGACAAATTTGATCGAGATGTAAACAGGAAAAGTTGTAAAAAACAGCTTACCTGAAGAGAGATTATTTGATCATTGACTTTGATTTTGATAGGATTATCATCATTATCGGTAGAAAGGCCTTCGATCTCAAGCGGTTGTCGATTTAGCATGGCAGCTTTTCTCTTTTCGCGAACTTCAAATCGCAACCACATCAGAAAGAACCTAAATAAGATCGTA